TGATGCTAGTAGACAGTCAGCAGGAGAACTGGGAAAGGATACGCAGGGTGGGGGCGCATCTGTGTCCAGTGCGGAAGCGCGGGGTGAGAACAGCTCGCACGCGCCCGCTACCGCCTTGCCCTGGCGACCGCCGCCTGCTTGGTCTCCGGCTGGGAATTGGCTGGTGCCGCGGGTGGGCAAAAGCAGTGCAGCAGGCCTGGAGCGCGGCACAGAGGGTGGCAATGACGGCGTGAAAGGCTTCTTTGTGCAGGATTGGGGAGGGTGGAGAGTGGTGGGAGAGGTGAGAGTTGAGCTTGTATCTAGAGGCGGGGGTCTGAGACGCTGCTACACCCCAACCCCGCAGCCACACTGCAACGTTCCGGGTGGCATCGACAGAGGGCGGTACGCCATTGGAAGGGTCCAGGCTGGGGTCCTGACGACCCTGCTCTGTTGGGCCGTCTTTGACTAGGGAAGGGGAAGGAAGCAGCAGGTTCGAGGAAGCAAAACGGAATTGAGGGATTTGCCTCCCTGCCCCTCCCCTATGTTGCGGGGAGCTCCCGCTAGCTGGAAGGGCTCAGCTTGTCGTTAGGCGCCCGCTCCGGAGCCAAGGAGAAGGAAGAAAGGCCCCCAGGAGGAGCTCCCACCAGCCCCGGGCACCGCAGCCCCCACCTGGAGGAGAGGGGCGGGCGCCGAGCTCCCCTCCCTCTGCTCCCGGGCCGCGTGGCTTGTGGCTTATTTTCCCAGCTGGTAAGCGTCGCGCTGCAGACAAGGGAATGCCTGTGGTGAGTTGTTTATTTTTGTTCAAGTTTGCGGTGGGCCAGGGGGACGTGGGGGGCGACCGGCAGGCAGCGACCAGGAGTGTTTTGTTTAGGTCTCCTTCCACCTGTGTGGTATAAATCTGCCAGCTTCAGGGCGGCGGGGGGCCAGGGTAAGAAAGTTCCGTCGCTCTAAAAGGCCCCTTTTCGTCACTTGCAGACTTAGGACAGCTCTTGATTCTCCACGCCTAGAACGAGCTAGATCCTAGTTTACGCTGTCCCTATGTCCCCCATCAATGCTCCCTGCACCCGCTGCGGAAAGGGCTGCCGAAACCAAGGAACCGGAGGAACAGTTGGCCACTGAAGCTCCTCCTGGGTGCCCTTCCTTGTTCCTTGAGGGCAGGAGATTTGAATTTTTGAAATTGGTGGGAACTTGTTCTGGCGTCTTTCGAAGAGCTGTGTGAAGTTCGTTCAGGGGTGTCGAGTTTGCCCAGTACTACAAACTGAGATCCCGAGTTGGCCAGAATGCCCTAAAGTTGGGGAGTGGGGGGGGGGTGGCCGGCTGGCTCCCGAGGAGCACGGAGGACACCCCACCACCACCACCGGGGGGCGGAGGAGCTGATGGCAGTCACTGCTGCGGCTTGTTTGCCTAAAAGAAAAGCCTAAATACATTAGCGAGCTGGTAAAGCTTTTAAGGCCTTCTTGGGAGTGAGTGGCTGGCTAATGAGAGGTTAATTTTGTTTCGAAGGGAAGGCAGTGCTGGTTTCCTGAGATAAATGGACAGGAAGCGCATTACCTCCGCGCGCTGGCAAGCGGCTTCCAAATGCTTTTTGCACCTGCTGTTTTCAGCGGTGCGAGCAGCGGCAGAGCCCGCAGGGATAGCAGGGGTTGGTTGGGTCTGCGCGGGTGATGAACCCTCGGCACTCCCCAGGCCCTCTCCCTCTGGGGGCACAGCCTCACGCCCGGCTCTGTTCTCTCACACTCAGGTCTTGTGCCCCGAGATCCCGTTGAGCCCCCTCCAGGAGCGGAAGGGTTAAGAATGATGTAAGTACAAACCGCGAGCTGCTTGCCCCTGGGCTGTCAGACTCCGTGTTGTTTCAGCCCCAGCTTTGTGGACACTGTGTACCAGGGAACCCTTAATTTAGAATGGGTTGCACGAATCGAGACCTTGAGTCTGATTTCCGGCTCTCTGCCACAGGAGATGTGTTAAGCAGAGACTTTCGTGTAATCTGGGAATGGCGGTGTATTAACAGGGGAACAATTAAGACATCACGTATAGGTTCAGGAAATGAAACCACATCTTGTTAAGAATCCATCAATGATTCTTGTATGCGTTTTAATTTTATCCAGTTGCACGCACGTTCATACAGTGGGGTGCTTTGCTAGATTCCATGAATATCCTGCTCTGATCTCATCTTTCCTTCCTGAAAACAAAGACGAAGGGAGAGAGTACAAGTGCCAGATAACAGGGTGGGTTTTCAAATTGTAAAAGCCATCATGACTTTTTTCTTTCTTTCTGATCAAAATGTAAAACATGTATAAGTCGTTGATTTTTGTTTGGGCTCCAGCTCCCTCTCCAAATTTTTCTTTGTAGAGTCTGAAATCTTCTTTAATCTTCAGCATAATAAATTTAAGGAGTGGATGCGCTATGAGCGACCATTCGCCACCCACTTTTCAAGACAATTCTGATCTAACAGTTCGAATTTACCCCGCAAACGTCAACTGACCTAATGTCTTGACGCTTGAAAATAGAAACCACCTTGCAGTTTAATTGTGAAAATTAGCATTTTCCTCTAGCCGGCTGAACACTTATGCAGCAATAAAAGGTGAATTGTTAGGCTTATAAATCTTGGGCTTGTCAAATTTTACAACAGAGCAGTAATAAAGCACCTTTGAGGAGATGAAGTTTTCCCTCTTAAGAACAGTTCCGTTTTAGGACGCCAGGATTTGTAGTGACTCAAGGGCGCCCTCTATTGATAAGAAAATCTAGAGCGCCCATTTAATTAAGGAACCAGGGGATGGCGGAGAGGGGAGAGGGACCCGTAAGGGGAAAGAAAGGGGAAAAAAATCGTGGAAAGCCACAAGCAAAAGACTCAAACCAAGCTGAATTTATTTATCCTTAACTCGGATAATAGATTTTGAACTATAGTCAGTGAGGTGGGATGCTTCTTCCATAGGGGTGGAATTAAAACTTGGGTGAAGGGAAAAAAGTGCATTTTACTAAGTTAGTCTTTGTTAGCAAAATACTTTGAAAAACATCATGTTCTTATTTGATTGCTTTTGGAAGAAGTTTGCTAGTATTTCATTAACTTGATTCCATTGATTATGTGTAGTAATTGCAACAGCACATTTTAATTCTAAAAGTGTTTAGTCCAATTATCTAAAAATCGTATCTGTTGCCTCGTCTAAAAAAAGTCATTTCTTCAGGCAACTCTGAAGCTATTATTAATTTTATTCACATTATGAGTATATACAAGGCTTGGATTATAATCTTGGATACTGAAAGGTATGTTTACCCCTTGAGTCATCATTGTATGTAATAAGTAAGCAATGAAAAGTTACGGTAAAAACAGGTAGGCATCTTTCACTGGGGACCTAGTGGTTTGAGCAGTTTACTATGTGTGTCTAATGAGTAAACGAGTGTGATCAGAAGATTGCCCCCCAATTATCCTGGTCCATTGAGTAGCTGATTGTAAAATGTGAAATATTAACGTGTCCGTGATTAATACGAAATTCCTAGAGATGCTGAGTAATGTAGTGTTGGTAGAGCTGTAAACAGAGATTTGGATTTAAATTGCTTTAAAATGGCAGCCGTGACTGAGCCTTCTGAAGAAAAACAAAGGCGAGGATAGTATGAAGTGGCTCTCAGCTTTGATATCGTTCTTGAGATTAGATACCACTTCGCAACTACTTATAACCAAATTGGACCCTATCATCAATCTCACGACTGCTTTACTGTTTCTCCACTTGGCAGAAGCTTTCCTGAAAGGCAACTGTTCCCCCTCCCCTTTTTTTGGACCCATCCAATAGCGAAGATAGAAACAGGCCTGCCCTTGAGTTGATCTGCTAATAGAACTGTGGAAATCTGTAGAAAATCCACTCAATAACAACAAATCGTGGCATAAGTATTCTACACTGCACAAAAACTCACCACCTGCATTAATGTAATTATAATGCAAACAAATTATACTGTAACCTAAAACGTTAAAGTTTGCCCACTCTAAGACCCCTCCCGCCACTTTCAAAAAGAGAAATGTCAAAGAAACAACACCGAATCCTCATTCCGTTATTGGCGAATTCCAGCGGGAGGTCGCGGACACCTTCTCAGTCCTATTGGATCTGCCCCGGGCTGCTGAAAACATTTTGGTTCCCAAAGCTGCTTGGTGCTTATTTTACAAAACATCGCAACAGACTTGGAACCCAGTCCCGCAGATATGATTGGCTGCCAGGGACACGCCGCACAGGGCTCCATAAAAGCGCCGGCTAGCTCTAAAAAGCTGGAGTTAGAGTTGGGGGGGGGGCGGGGCAAAGGTAATTAAATTAAAAAAAAAAAACTTTAAGGGAAGTTGAATCCTATCATATTAATTCAAGGTGAGGTCAAAGGCCGGTTCCTTTGTAACGCCGGCGAGTTTCAGAGTTGCCTTCGCCTGTTTCTATTGGGTGCGAAGAAACAGTAAATCGCTGAAGGGGGTGGGTGGAGAAAACAGGGAGGGACGGAGGCAGGGCCCGGACACTGTAGACCGAACCGCAGTCTGAGGCCGCTGAACTCGAATTACAACTAGCCGGCTGGAGGAGGCGCAGGGGCGGGCACTTGGTACCCTTCGAGTGGCGGGCTAGGCCCGACGCGCGCTCACAGCCAATGGAGATGAAGGGAGGGGCGCGGGCGGGGGCTAGGGCGATGTGGATTGGTGAGTGCGGGCAGGGAGGGGCGACAGTGCGGGTCCGAGATTGATTGACCGCGGGGGACGCAGCTCAGAGACACCCAGACTGCGGGCTGCTGCTCGATGGAGCAGGGTGCGTCTCCCGTCAGTCCACGCCAGCGTTCACGCCCGTCAAGCCCACGCTAGCTGGGGCCAGGTCGCCCACGCTGTCGGGCCTCACTGGGCACTAGCTCACGGTCTTTGTGTCTTCTCTCCCGCCCTTCTCTCCTCGACCGACGCGATGCCGCTGCGTCCGGTTGCCGCCGCCGACTCGCTCCGCTTGCGGCGCGCTGCTCGCTGCGGCGGTGGCGGCGGTCTGTCTCCGACGCGGGCCTGAAGGAGGAAGAAGAGGAAGCGAGGCGAACCCCCCGGCCCATGCCGCAACCACGGCCCAGGACCCGCCACGGCGCCCGCGCCGCCGCCCTCTCCAGAGCCCACGAGACCTGTATGGACGGGCATGGGCTTGAGAGCAGCACCTTCCTTCGCCGCCGCCGCCGCCGCCGGGGCTGAGCAGCGCCACCGCCCCCGGCCCTGTCCGCCGCCCCTGGCGCTGCTGTTGCTGCTGCTGCTCAGCCTCGGGCTGCTCCACGCAGGTAACTAGGCGTGCGGGGGGAGAGCCAGCTCAGGTTCGAGAGCTTTGTTCCCAAACAGGCTCTTGTCCTGAAGCCATCGCGGGCGCGGAAGGCGGCGTGGCGGACGGGAATGGCCTCCCGAAGCTCTGGCACGCACTCTTAGCCGAGCTCAGAGCAGCCGGCGGGCGGCGCGTCCTCTGCGTCTAAGTAAGGCCCCTTCTCTCCCGCCCGCTTTTGGCACTGACCGTTGATAAATCTCTCCTTCAACAGCTGCTTATCAAAGATTTAACGGGCGGGGGTTCGGAGCTGTGCACCCGAGACAAATGTTCCGGATGCTTTATTGCTCTTGCATTGGTGTTTACTGAAAGTCGGTCTCGGATCAAGTTTCCACCGCCGCCGCCTCTTCGGAGGAAAGACAAGGAGCCTTATGCTGCTTCTCTGGAGTTGGGGGAGAAAAAGGGGTGGAGGCGAGGCGACGGAATCGCACCAGATGGAAAGATTTTAACCGGAGTTTGAAAACCTGTGGGTTAATCTCGAAGTAACCAAAACTTCTTTTGAACAAGGATTTCCTTCGTATTTGCAAAAGCTGCTTTTAATTCTTCTTTGAATCTCTCTGGCGAAACTTGTGCTTTGTGGCTAGCCGCGTGTTTTGGGGGTGTGGGAGAAGTTGACAGATCTCGTGCTGCTTTCTAGAGGTCGGCGCTTTCCCTATGAAAGCAGCTGTGTGGAATCTCTTTTTTAGCAGAGTAAGCATACAGATGAGCCTTCCAGCATGTGGCTCTTCCTATTTTAAAATTATTCCATTGAAATCGAGGGCACACTTTTTTCTTTAGGAATTTGAACAGACAGACTTAAAAAAAAAAAAGCCAGAACTGAAGGGAAAATGTCGTTTAGTTTGACAACCAGAACATTAAATTTATAAACAATAAATTTATTTTCCTTTGAGGTCTTTTTGCCATGTATTTTTATGACAGCAGTCACAACGCTTTGATCTGAAGAGTCATGAACTTGCCACCCAAATGTGCAGAATAATTTTTATCAAGTGTGATTTTTAAATAAAGGCTGTCTTTTAAGTAGTGGGGAAGTGTGTGATATTTGAGATTATTTCATTTGCTTTTACTTTGCATTGTGATGTAACAGCTGCGTTTTTAACACTGTGACTTGGGCATACAGACCGAAGTTGTAATATAAAGGGCAATAGCAAGTGTTAGAATGATTAAGGCTTTTAATTAGTAATTTTAGAACCTTAGAAAATAATGAGTGTCCTTCCAGTTACACAGAAATTGTTTCTTGATGTATCAAGAGTGCTTTGTATAAAAAATATATCCAAGTACCCCGTTAAACCCATTGCTGTCCAGTTGATTCTGATTCAGAGGTTTCATGAAATGGAAATTGGAAGTTAGGCAGAACTCAGCCCCTGTTGGCTGCTTGGATATTGTTTCCCATAGTTGCGGTAGGCTCCTATAACATGGTTGGAACCTGGTCTTGAAGATTTCTTTGCAGGCCCATGAAAGCTTAAGAAGTGGTTTATAGATTTAGAAAACTAAGGTGCCTTAGTTCAAGAAATTGGAATTTTAAATTTCTCTTAGTATTTTATTATGCCTTCACTAAATTCACCATTATATCCACCCCAGAGTTGCTGTGTTGAGTGATTTCTGTGGACAGCTTGTTGGAGTGGAGCAATTAATCTGGTTACAGAAAAGGGCTCCTTTTCAGAGATAACCTTGGAATGCAGGAGTTGTGCCTCTTCAGAGCAGGGAGCCTATAGCCAAGTGTTCTTTGCAGTTGGACTACCTACCATATGTTTTATGCCTGGATCCATATCATGTGCCTCAGCACCCCATATGGCTCCACATTTCTCTTAATACACTCTAGCAAGTCTTGTTTCTTTTATTATAAACTGGTGATTGTGCTGGAAATTCACACGTGCAGTCTAATGTTGAGAAACACCATTATGAATGGTGAAGCTTTTATGTCTGTATCATTAACGAGAGTTCTAGACTCACAAATACTAATTTAGAACTTTCATTAGCTGGAATGAAAATATCATATGGATCGTAGATGACCTGACCTACAAAATTGAGAAATCTGGAACTGCAAATTTTGAGTTCTGCCCTTGGGAAATGAAAAGACTGCTTTTATTTACTCCACTGCCCCCACCCCCTCCACACACCCCACTCTCACCCTTAAAGTAAATCTCTGCAGTTCCTGAATGGAGAATTGCAATCCAATATGGGAGTTACTTGCTTACATATACACTTTGCAGCCTTTTTGGCTACATGCTTAAAATTGTTTCTGTTCTGTATTGTCCTGGCATTTTGACAGGAGGTTTACTTTATTGACTGTAACAGGCAAAGTGTGCATTGTCATTATAAATTCATGAAGCCTGGATATTTTGGGGTGTATACTGCAAATTAGTCATTATACAGGAACCTGTGAAGAGGCTGAAACTGCTGACCCAAACAGCACTTTTTCTCCGGTTCACCCTCCTCCCTCTCATCATCACTATTCCAAAAGGCTGTTAGAACCTGTACCCAAAACAAAAGAACCCAAGGAATTGTTTTATGTGAGAGTTCTCAAAGGAATGGGCACCTGTCTGCTATGAAAAAGGTGAAAGAAGGAATGATAAAGGAGCTGGCACTCTGAATTCAGATTCTTTTCTTTTCTAAACAGTTGCAACTACATTTCCATGCTATTTTTACATTTTTGGTGTTTTGTGACAATTTGAAATAATTACATGTAAATGTAGGAGCTCTGGAAGCATAGTGCCTAAGGCACTTGACTGCTAACCAGAAGGCTGGTGGTTCAAACCTACCTGCCACTCCTCGGAAGGAAGGTTGGGCAATCTACTTCCGTAGTGATACTGCCTCGGAAACCCAAGAAGGGGTTGCTATGAGTTGAGTCCGATTCAACGGCACATAACAACAACAAACAACACATGTAAATATATGCTTGGATAGATTTTATAGACTATACCAAAAAAAAAACTGCCATCAAGTCAATTCAACTCATAGCGACCCCTCTTTGGGTTTCCGTGGCGGTATCTCTACGGAAATAGATTACCCAGTCTTCCTTCCGAGGAGTGGGTGGTGAGTTTGAACCACTAGCCTTCTGGTTAGCAGTCAAATGCCTTAGGCAGTACGCTACCAGACCGTAAGAACAAATAGGTACTGAGAACTTAGAGGAAAGTTCTTTGCCATATTTATTTATAGTCTAAGAGCTGTTTGTATGAGTAATCTTGGCCTCCTGTTATTTCCTTGCTTTCTGCTTGTGAATCTAATTAAAAAAGAAAAACTTAATAGTTACTGTAGTCTTTTTCTTCAGCTATCAAATACTGTTGTTAGAGTCAGATATTTGGGGTAGATATGACCTGTGGAGGAAGCAAAACAGGATTAGAGGAGAGAAGCACCACATCCTAGGCTTGATACTTACTACCTGTGTACCACCCAGCCAGGATGAGCCTTTTTACCCTTCGCCCTGGTTTTCCCATCTGTAAAATGGCTTTAATGCCTTTGGATTTTCTTGTTTCCTTTTAAGTAAAAATAGATGAAAATTACTTGATAGCTTTGTAAACACTGGAGAGAGGAACTTTATAAGTACTGGAGTACAGAGAGGAATATGCTGGAGTTCATTTTGAAATGAGCAAACATAAAATAGGCCAAGCACATGAAGACTTTTTGTGATTTTTTTTTTTAAGTGGGGCTTAATGATTGCTCTAAATCTATAGCTCCAAAATATTAGAATATTTTAATCTTCTATTCTACTCAGGCTAAAGTGAATTACCAAACCTAGACTATAGTATTTTTCCCATTTTGCTCTTTGAAATTAAAAATGGTAGAGGAGATATCCTCAGAGGTTGTTGCTCTTCAACTGAAGCCAGAAACAGAGATTATAGGTAATTTAATTCAGATATAAAAGCACTTTACTATGGAAAAGATTAAAATATATTTCTAGGGCAGTATTAAGGGTCAGTCTTAACTCTTAGTGGAAGTCCTAAATTTTAATTACCTGAAGTGTGCTGCACCCTCGTCTTGAATAATTATTAAACCATACTTGTATGTTTAATAGTATTCTGCTGATAATGATGTTTTGTTTTGTTTCCCCCACATCTAGAATACAAAATTTAAGATATATTATGACTGGAGAAAATCACAAACTCCATCTTTGAATAACTACCTCATTTCTCAGATAAGGAACCTAACACTTGGAAAGATTAAGAAACTTCCTCCATAGCTTAAGGGGCCTATAAGGAATTTTTAAGTAAATGTATGTGGTGGTTTATTTCTATAGAATTTGAGATTGATGATAAAAATATTTCTCTTTTCATTAAAAATTTGTTGTGTTCATTGGATGAGAACACATAACTCACCTAGTATTGGCAATTATTGTGTGTGTGTTTATGCTTTAAGTGGTTTTTAAAATTTTTTGAGAGTCAGATAGTGACAAAGCATTGTTTGGAAATTGATTTTTTAAATAGTAAGGCATCATTACCTGGTGTTTTATCTTTGTTTATGTTTGTTTAAATCATTTAGTGTATATAACTTGTCAGTTCAAGGCAAAAAGTCAAGTTTATAAACACACCTAAAGAATTCAGTGTATTATATTAACTTGAGTGAAGGGAAAAGCAGTATACAAGGGGAAGGTCAGCACAAAATGTTCAAGGCAAAAAGGAAGACATTGGAGGGAGCACACGAGTTAAAGACAATAAAGATAAATACTAATACATCAAACTCCAAGCGAAACTCACTGCTGTTGAGTCGGATTCGACTCATAGCAACCCCACCTTAGGTTTCCAAGGTGGTATCACAACGGAAGTAGATTGCCCAACTTTCCTTATGAGGAGTGGCTGGTGGGTTTGAACTGCCAACCTTCTGCTTACCAGTCAAATAGACTGGTTAGACTATATATAGTCGGGCAATAACAGTAATAATGATAATCCATGTGCAGATACACAGATAATTTGTGCAAGCTGAACAGGAGGGGGGGCAAACAGATCTACACCCACAAATATATATAGGTTTGATAGAGAAAAGTTCTACATACGTATTTATATGTACGGTAACTATATCCGTGAATACAGTAGAACATTCAGGGAGCAGAGTTATGTAAACTTCTTAACCATAGCCAACTCTTTGAGGGAATGAGTTGCTGGGCCTGCGGGCTAAGGTCCATGGTCTCGTGGGACATCTAGGTTAATTGGCTTAGAGTGGTGGCGTAATGCCTAAGGCATTTGACTGCTAACTAGAAGGCCAGCAGTTCAAACCTACCAGCCACTCCTCAAAAGGAAGAATGGGCAATCTACTTCCATAGAGATACCGCCTCGGAAACCTAAGGAGGGCTCACTATGAGTCAAATATACTCGATGAAGTGAGTTTGGTTTTTTTTTGTTGTTGTTTAGTGCACAAAGAGTGTACTACATCCTACTTTGGTGAGTAGTGACTGAGGCCTTAAAAGCTTGTGAGTGGCCAACTAAGTGCAGGTCTCCCCTATCTGGAGTAAAAATCAAAGACACGTGGACCTTGTGAACCACAGCCTCCATGACCCTGACACCAGAAGAACTAGATGGTGCCTGGCTGCCACTGCTAACTGCTCTCAAAGGGATCACCATAGGAAGCCCCAGATAGAGTGGGAGTAAGATATGGAACGAAACTCAAAATCATAAAAAAAAACCAGGCTTAAGTCAAGGAAAGATTTACACATAGAAGGAAACTTTCTTTGTTGGTTACCAGGGAAGGAATAATGCTAGCAAGATAATAGAGCCGTGTGGATAAAGGCAGTGTATCAGAAGCGGTGACAAGCACAGTATCACTAAGAAAAACATGGAGAAGGACACTAGAGGATCAAAAAGAAAGATACAGGGAAAGGTAACCACAGCGACAGTCGTTACCTTGTGGGGATTTCGGTTAATGTCGCAAAACAAAATGTATGTGAATTATTGAATGGAAAATGAATTTGCTTTGTAAACTTTCACTGAGATCACAGTAAAATTTTTAAAAAAGACCAGCCTGACTGGTCTGATAGAGACTGATGGAATTCCCTAGGCTTATGGCCCCTAAAAACCCTTCAGTCCTAGAATGGAACTCCCCTGGTGGCTCACCTTTCAGCCAGACAATAAACAGGCCTGTAAGGTGACCAGTAAGACCAGAGAGGTATGCACTCAGAACATCCAACCTTACGGATCTCAAAAGGGCAGCATTTGCCCAGGGATAAAGCTCAGAAGGCAGGAAGGGAGAGGAAAGAAGGACAAATGGAAACAGTCAACACAGGGAGGAAGTGGGAAGAATGCTGTTACACTGTGGGGATTCCAATCAATGTCATGAATCAAAATGTGTATGAATTATTGAATGGAAAACAATGCAGCCCTATTTCTGAAGGCCTTCTTAAAACAGGAGAATATAGAGTAGAACAAACAGTTACATAGTTTAGTCAAGTTAAATCACTTTATTTTTTCAAACTTATGCTTTATAGGAGCTAAGAGATTGTCATTTGCCATATAGTTTATTGATAAATATCCCTCAGGAAGTAGAAAATAACTTATTGCTTGGATTTTTCTTGATATTTTCCTTTTAACTGTACTAGAATTGTTAACTAACTATGCTATGATTTTGAATTTTACCCGTTCACAAAGTATAGAGGCTATAATCATGGATTTGTGCTCAGTGCTGATTTTATAGTGCTTTTTGAAATAAATTACTTTATCTAAGTCACTTTTCAAAATCAAAACAAAGATCCTGTCTTTGGCTTGGCCTCAAAGCAGAGGACTCATTCTCAAAATCTATAAACAAATGGGAAACTTGATAAAATGTTTTGTTTACCATTCCTTTGTCATTTTAACCTAAAAATACTGGATTGGACTCTTCCACAATGTGGATTGTTCATTCACAATAGCACACAACTTTAAAGTTTTCAATAAATTAACTGCATGCAGTTTTTCTCTCAGTGGCTTAATTTGAGAGGGGCACGGGAGCACAATGCAGCCCTATTTCTGAAGGCCTTCTTAAAATAGGAGAATATAGAGTAGAACAAACAGTTCCCAGAGGAGAATGTCATTTTCTCATGTAGCTCAGGAAGTTATGAAGCGTTTAAAAACATTTGGTCTTTTCTTCTTTCCCGTAGGTGACTGCCAACAGCCGGCCCAATGTCGAATCCAGAAATGCACCACAGACTTTGTTTCCCTGACTTCTCACCTGAACTCTGCCATTGACGGCTTTGACTCTGAGTTTTGCAAGGCCCTGCGTGCCTATGCAGGCTGTACCCAGCGAACTTCAAAAGCCTGCCGTGGCAACCTGGTATACCATTCTGCTGTGTTGGGTATTAGTGACCTCATGAGCCAGCGGAACTGTTCTAAAGATGGACCCACGTCCTCTACCAATCCTGAAGTGACCCATGACCCTTGTAACTATCATAGCCATGCAGGAGCCAGAGAACATGGGGGAGGGGACCAGAACCCTCCCAATTACCTTTTTTGTGGCTTGTTCGGAGATCCTCACCTTAGAACTTTCAAGGATCACTTTCAAACATGCAAAGTGGAAGGGGCCTGGCCACTCATAGATAATAATTATCTTTCAGTTCAAGTGACGAATGTGCCTGTGGTCCCTGGATCCAGTGCTACTGCTACAAATAAGGCAAGATAATACTTTTTTTTTCTTTTTCACCTTCTCACTCATAACTTTCAGATGCTTGATTCTTCAAATATGTTTGAAGTATGTTGCAAAAGACCTAGTTTAAAAGGAACCTTTTTTGTCTTGTTGGAAATCAGTAGGATTAATGAAGGACTAAATTATAAGAAATTTCTCACTAGGATTCTGAGACTTATTGTGAAATGTGGGTCTACATTTAAATAGGCAGCAAGATAAAAAATAAAAATTAAGTGATGAAATTGAGTTCTCTAGGGAAAAAGCAGGCTTGTGTAATGAAAAATGTGCACTTTTATCAGTGATTATTTGTTTCGAGTATATGAGTGTTTGTGAATATATGTCCATGTTTCAGTCTGACTGAAATGGGTGTTTTGAATAAAGAGCTATGAATCCAAGGCAGTGACCCATCAGGAATCATATTTTATTGGAAATTTGTGGTGCAGTGGTTAAGGCATTTGGCTACTATCCAAAAGGTTAGTGGTTTGAACCTACAGCTGCTCCATGGAAGAAAGATGAAATGATCTGCTTCCAAAAAGATTTACTGCATTGGAAACCCATTGGGGGTCGCTGTGAGTCAGAATTGACTCAATGGCCATGAGTTTGGTTTTTGGTTTTATAGTAAAATGTAATGGCTGTAAGCTTTCCCAGTGGTAAACCGACAATGGTGTTTTAGTTACTAACCTCATCATAACCAAGGAAGTTAAAGAATAGGATATTGCAAAGCAGTGGTGTATAACCCCAGGAAAATCTTAGAACCTCAGGTAAATAATTGAAGTCAGAAATTGAGGGAAAAGCTGACAAAATTAAGTATACCCCACCTAGCTTATAATGTCCGTTGTCCATGTTTGTTGTATGCTATTTGCTTTAAAGAAGCTAATACTGTGTAGGGATACTCTAAGCCAACTTTAAGGTACTAGTGTCTTAGTGTACATAGGTGAACAGAAACTATGAACTGATCTGCCAGTTGCCAGTCAGTTCTAATTAAGTCATTTGTAAATTAAGAAATCACAAAAGGTTTTCCACAAAAATTGTGGCCTAACTAGCCTTTTCTTGTCAGCCTCAGCCACAAAATTACACAGACCATCTCATCTTGCTTAATTTCCTTTATTTGTTATACCTATTCATAAGTTGAAGGAGCTCTGGTGGTATAGTAAGTTAGGCGTTTGGTTGCTAACCAGAAAGTCGGCAGTTTAAACCCACCAGATGGTCCACAGGAAGATGAGGCAGTCTACTTCTGTAAAGATTTACAGCCTTGGAAACCCAATGAGACTATGAGTTGGACTCAACTCGATGGCAGAGAGTTATTCATAAGTTGGTTTAAACTAAAATATAATTGACAAGGATCAAACTTTTTAAACATCTTCTTTTGAGTCCAAGACAATTCTCCCTTGCCTCCAAACATGTGTGGCGTAATTTTTAAGTGACTTTATTTTACTTGATATTTTGTGGAGGGAATTTTACAACACTTCAGGCAGTAACTGGAGACACCCTGGGGTGTCACAAATCTAAGATTAGATGTCATTGCTCTGAACAAAGAAGAGTATTACACTGGCCAGGAGTCTTAGGGGAACTCCAAAATGTTTACATTTCAACTCCCAGTCAAATCCCAAACTTGCCTTTTGTCTTTCTAAATCCTGCATCTCTGAAATACTCTTCTTCCTCTGGTTTTTATATGTATGCAAATAAGTTTTCCTGCAAAACATACGTTTGTTGTAAGTTGCACTATAAAGTATAAACCAATTATGATGTTATAAGATAGACCACAGACCAAAAATCCATTGTTGCTGGGAAGTCATTGGGTACCTAAAACCTGGGAGTGGTCTTTGGGAAAACAAACACTGGAAATTCAAAGAAGACAGTTCTGTTGGGAATGGAGAAAGTCATCTCTCAGTTGTACAGATAATTGACCTGGAGAAGGAAAGAAAACTATTGAGATTAAGGCTGTGTGGATGGAAAATACTGGTTCTTTTCAAAAGCCTAAAGTTTTATTTTCCATGCTTTCCATTCAATCACATTCTGTTTTTTATTCAAACTTGCAAAATTCTATACTTTTTACTGAATCTGGTGAGAAATATTTGGGAGAACAGCCAACTACCTTAAGAATTTCAGTATTATACAAATGAAACGATTTACACTGAATTACTTAATATCATTCCATTTCAGTTATAATTTCAGCAAAGAAATAAGTACAGCTTTGTCCTCTACCTCAGTTTGGTAAGAATCAAAGGTTTTACCCATTCTAAAAAGAAGGGTGGAAAAGTTGTCCTCTGACATTCAAGTGGACAGTAGAACACTTGGTCTTCAGTTGTACTACTGGTCAGTATTTCCCCACATCTGGTGGCCCTCCTGTTCAAGCAATAGATTACTCTATGGTTTCACAGCTTCTAGTTGTTTTTTCTTTTTTTTTCCCCATAACTCTTCAAAGGAAAGTTACTGTTGATAGCCTGTCTCAGTGCTTTGATAGGCTTTATATTACCTGTGCTGGTAAGACCAAACCAAAGCCTAGTATCTTGGAATGCAATTTCCTTTGACTTTTTTTTCTTTTGCAATTTCCAGGACCAAAATAAGGTCTCTAAAGATCCTGTTCAACAAAAAAGATAGTATAATAAAAATCAAAGTGATACTTGGCAAAAAGTAGTATAAAATAAGTCCCAAAAAATGATCTGGCATTTCCCTTGATGACTATGACAGTGTTTTTAAAAACAATTCTTTCAAATGGTGGTGGGGTGTGTGTGTGTGTCCGTCCGTGTCCCAGCTTTACTTGCAGTTGCCATCAAGTCAACTGACACCGTGTGTCAAGTTGAACTGTGCTTCATAGGGTTTTCATTGGCTGATGTTGCAGAAGCAGATCACCAAGCCTGCCTTCCGAGGTGCCTCTGAGTGGGCTCAAACTGCTAAACACATGCGTAGACCAGCTGTTGGATAACCCAACATTATGTGGTTGCATATTCTGTGTCATCTCTGGGGTCAAGCATTTCTCATGTCATCAGTATCCCTAGATGTAAAGACTGATCCTTGAAATAGTAGAGGTTGTGTGTATACATACACATATTGTGATACTGAAATTGTCCTGTGTAAAAGTACATTCCTTTTCTGCCTTGAAGCACTGGAGCTGGGGTGTATCCATTAGATAATGCCTCAGATCTAGGAACCTGGCCTATACCTGGGTTTTTGAGCAAGCTGATCCTTGTGAGATGTTACCTGTCCCTAAACCAAAAATCCAGACTCACTGCCATCGAGTCATTTACAATTCATAGTGACCCCTCCTTGGGTTTCCCAGATGGTATGTCTAGGGAAGTTGATTGCCCAGTCTTCCTTCTGAGGAGTGACTGGTAGGTTTGAATCGCCAACCTTCTGGTTAGTAGTCTAATGCCTTAGGTACTACACCACCGGAGCTCCCTAAGTACTCCCTTTTCCTTCATCACAAAAAGGCAAAGCAGGAGGAGAAATAGAAACAGAATGGAAGAAAATTGAGTCTTCTCTACTCAAGGGGCCATTTATTAGCTAAGCCTTTGCCTTTTTCCACATGGCAAGCAGTGAGTTTAGGGCAGATGAGTTTACAGTACTTGATGTTGTCTTGTCTCCCTTTGTCTACTGATCCTCCTCCCCCTACACCTCCTTCCCTTCCCTGGGAAACAAAGTATTTTCTAGTAGTCTTGCTATGCACAGATAAGCTTTCTCAAGGCCGTTTTGTGTATATCTTCTTCCATTCTGTTACACTGCCTCTCTTCCAGGAGTCGGTAGCAGTTGACTACCTTGCCAGGTAGGTGTGTTAACTAAAAGAGAAACCAGGGCTATTTCTTCATCTCTCCACCCCAGAGGCTGCAGGGGTTTGTGGCACACCTACACACCTCAGCAGTGATCACATCAGCTCTGGGCCATCTTTCCCACGTGTGGCTGTGCGAGGCAGCTACAGGCATGCAGGCACTAGGGGAAAATGAGATTAAGGGGCAAACTGCTTAGAACTGGCAGACTGCTTGGTTAGCTATACTGGGGCTAGGGAACGGCGCAGCCGATTTTGTTGGGAAGAAGAGATAGCCTGCTCTATATAAGCTCCAGACAGGATGTGTCACTACCTCTCCCTTGCCTCACACACTGGGATAAACCAGCTCATCTGCTTAGGGATGCCTGACTTCTCTACTTTTATTCCACATTCTCTGCCACCCTCCCAGCCTCAATGTCTGTTAAGTTCATTCTGTATCTCTAAGTGAACTCAGTAAGGATTTATGTATGCACTTGACTGCTAACCAGAAGTCTGGCGGTTCAAACCCACCAGCCACTCCTCGGAAGGAAGGTTGGGGAATCTACTTCCATAGTGATACAGCTTCAGAAAACCAAGGAGGGCTCGCTATGAGTCGGGTCCAACTTGATGGCACATAACAACAACAACATGATTACAGAAGGTGATTTAGGACTAAAATCTTTATTTTATGAGAGAATTCTGTACTTTACAAAGACATTCTTAGTGGTAATCATTAAAATCACCAGTCCTTCAAATGCATTTAAAATGATTCTGTTTCTTAAAAATTTCAGAAATGCATTTATCATCAAATTGCACACCTAAAAAATGGCAACATTTAAATCTTTTGGTTTTTTTTAATGGGATATCTCTGCTTGATGTCCCTTTCATTTTAATGAAATTACATCCCCTTTCATCAATCTAGCTTTCTTATCCTATCCTTTAGTCACAGTAAAACAAAATAAATAGTGGGAGAGGATATTGGGAATGACAAGTCTTTTTAGGGATTTACTACATATTTTTCTGTGCTTCATCCTTTACTTGAAAGTAGTTTTCTTTAAGGTAGTTTACTTTTGGGGAAGGGATGTGTACTTTGAGCTTGACCAAACCAGATGACTGTTGGCCAGCCAAGTAAGCAGTCTGAGAGGGCTTGTATGGTCTTCTTGCTGCTGTCACTTTCTCAGCCATAGGCCACCAGCTCTCTGCAATCACATGGAAAGTATCTATCACTTAATTTCAAAGCTAGTGG